AAAGAAGTCCCACTGAATTCAATAATTTTAGTAGGCTCACACAGGATCACAGTACAAGTGTGGCACTTTTTCATCATTAAATCAAGATGGGAACACTTCAGGATACAGCTATTAGAAGGGATCCTATCCTGCCAGCATATTCAGAAGGAAATCTGACCAGGTTTAATAAAATTTCTATAGCAATGCTGCTGTCCTAATATACTTTGTTGTCCAGAATTAAATCCCAACCAATTTGAAGAGACTTACTGCTAAGTTAATGTAGATGCAAAACTGCAGGTTAAGCAATTTCTACAAGAAAAGGCAAGAACTAGATTTTATTAAATATTTCCGCAGTAAAACAAGCATTTTAAAGCTCATGCATCTTTTAAAGCAGTGGGTCCCAACCTTTCTGACACCACACACACACTACACTTGATCTTAGCCAAAAGGCCGAGAAGCCAGGGACCAGTTTAGTTGAAGACCATTCTTCCAAGGACCAGGGAGTGGCATGTGTGTGTGCATAGAGCATGCGTGCGTCTGTGTGGGTGGGCGGGGGTGCGTGCATGCAGGAGGCAGATGGGAGGTGCGTGTGTGCATGCAGGTGTGGGGTGTGTGCGGGAGGCAGGTGGGGATGCGTTCATGCATGCAGGAGGCAGGTGGGTATCCATGCATGCATGCGGGGGGTGGATGTGAATGAGTGGGTGAGTGCACACATGCAGGTGTACCCGCACATTCCTTCGGCCCCCAAAAAAACTGTCTCAGCGGCCTGATCCTTTCAAGGCCACAGACCAGTACCAAGGGACCCCTGTTCTAAAGGACATGATGAACCAACATCAAATTTTAAAGGGAATCATTTTCTTCTCAGGAAGCAGTGGCGACATTTGGAACGTAACTACAAAAATTACTATGTGTCATGAAAAATCTGTACAAAACAAGAGGACAAAACCTTCCCTTAAAACAAAATTTAGAACTTGCCCTGCCCCGCTTTATACTGCCCAAGCAAGGCATTACTCTGGGAGGTTGACAACAGTAAAGCAAATACACTAATAAAACAGTAAGGAAAGTATTAATAATAATAAAAATAAGAACAGATAATCAATAAAACAGCATAAACAAGTACACCAAGGGCAACAGGAATGGTCAAACAACAGGACCAATCTGATAGATTCATTAGTGGTTGCTAGCAAAAGCTTATCTAAAAAGCATTGTTTTAAGCAACCTCTTTAAGGTAGAGAAGGAGTGGGCCAGACACAGCTCAAATGGGAGCCCATTCCAGAGGGCTGGTGCCACCACTGAGAAGGTGTGATTTCCGGTGGGTATCTTTCTGGCTTCCCTTGGCGTGGCAACCTGTTGGAGCATTGCCTGTGAAGATCTGGCGGCCTGAGTGGATGTTCTTGGGGAAAGGGACTCCAACAAGGGCCCAAGCCATGACAGCTTTTATAGGTACAAACCAGAACCTTGAACCTGGCCTGGAACCTCCCAGGTAACCAGTGCAAGCAAGCCAGGACTGGGGAGATGTGGTCAGATTTGCTCACATTCGACACCAGCCTGGCAGATGCACTCTGGATCTGTTGATGTTTCAGGGTCAGCCTCAACAAAAGCCCCACGTAGACAGTGTTGTAGCAGTCAGTCTAGGAGATCTCCAGCATTTGTACCCACATCTTCAGGGGGCCCTCATTCAGGTAGGGGGTGGAGTGATCACCTTGATAACCTTGCCCATAAAGGCATATTGGCGACAGGCCTAAAATTATTTAAAAGCATTTGTTCAAATGTCTTCATGTTTGTTCACAGGAAGCCCAAGATTCTAAATATTGTCCTGATTCAAGAACCCATTCAAATGTTATAACTTTTGGTTTGGACTGCCCATCCTATCAGTAAAGGCTTATTGAATGCTATTTTGACTGGTCTCACAATATCAGAGGCATAATCCTGTGCACCTTTAATTTACAGCAAGCATAACATTTACAGAATGCTCAGAGTTCAAATGTCATAGTTTTACTGATGTATGTACATGCCAACATATCACATACAATAAAGAATACAGTGGTGCCTTGAATTGCGAACTTAATTCGTTCCAGGATAATCGTTGTAACTCAAGTTGATTGTAACTTAAAGCACCATTTCCCATAGGAATACATTGAAATGCAATTAATTCATTCCTGCCATTTTTAAAGGTTAAAAAAAGGGCAGGAAAGGAGGGAGGGGGGAACAATGGGGAAAAGAGGAAAGAAGGTCATCACTGGGGTATACACAGACCTCTCAGACAAAGGTTTGTGCTGTTAGACACGAGAGAGGATAGAGAGAGAGAAGACAATGGACACAAAAAGAGAGAGGATAGCGAGAGAGAAGACAATGGGGGGGGGAAGAGTTTGGAGTCCAAAACAAAACAATTCCAGTAGGGACTAAAAATTCCACACTGCAAGACCCATCAAAGCACAGAAACATAACCCCCCCCGCTGAATCAAACAAACCCATTCCAGCAGTACCAGGCAGTCCAAAGCAGCTCTCAGAACGCACTCTCGCTAACCATTGGGGTGAAGGAACTACAAACAAGCAGCCTCTTCGCTGACCAACGGTTAGCAATTTAAATTCCCTGCCTTTTCCCCCACCTTTTTTCTGATCATATCTCAAAGCTCTGGTCGCAAGTCAAATCAAAATTTTGCGACGGGAGCTGTTCGTAACGTGCTTTGGTCGCAATCAAAATTTTGCAACAGGAGCTGTTCGTAACGTGCTTTGGTCGCAAGTCAGGACAGTTGTAAGTTGAGGCATCACTATAATGCAAAAGCGGTTACTGTAATCAGTCCACTAGGGGAGACTGTTTTTTTCACTGTAATTCAAAAGCGGTTAATCAGTCCACTAGGGGAGACTGTTTTTTAAAAAACCCTAAAATGACCTCTAATGTTAAAAAAAGGGCAGGAAAGGAGGGAGGGAGGGAACAATGGGGAAAAGAGGCCTTTTTCTCTGGTTGTATCTCAAAGCGCCAGCTGCAAATCAAAGCAAAATGTTGCGACCGGAGCTGGTTGTAACTCAAATTGGTTGCAAATCAAGATGGTTGTAAGTGAAGGCACCACTGTATTTATAAAAGAAGGTTGTTAAATAAAGTGGATGAACATAAAATCAAAAACAGATATAAACACTTAAACATGCTCATTCCTCGCTTCATTAAAACATAAACATGTATTTTTATTGCAAAATTGCAAGAATATACAAAACTTGCTCTGAGGATGGAGGAGGTATATTTATAATTCAATGGCACTGCATTTTCTGTATTCAAAAACTGTACTTCTTGAAAATGCTACAAGAAAGCTTGCCAAAGTAGAAAAGCGTGCACAAATAATTTAAAGAAAGGAAGGCAGGTGTGCTGTTCCTAATAACTTGTGAGAATGAATTTCCAATGACAACAACATGACATAATTTGATTCTGCCAGTCTAAGGATCTGAAAAGATTTAGAAAGTTACCCAGCATTCCCATTGCTACAATGCCATTTTACAAAATGTATTAAGAAAATTGAGATTCCCTGATACTGGCTCAGTTCTACATCCATTTCTTTTCTAATGGCAACAGTTTAAATTCAGATCCTATTGCTGAAGAGTCTCTCCACAGACACACAGTACAAACAACAACAACGGTAATAATTATATCTAATTTTTTTGAACAATGGTCTGAGATATGCAAAGCCGCTGCCGTTCCAGGAAGCAGAAAGTCAATTTCCTTTTTAGGTGGCATGGTGAACTTTCCTTTCTTTGAATTCTTTGTGCACACTTCTTTGGGTGCACATTACAATTGTGTAACGTTGTGAAAACACTGTTCCCACTAATATGAGAATTTTATTAAGAGTTTGAAGTTGTTCTGCATTATTTCTGGTTAGGAAAAGAAAAATGTCTCCCAGGCAAGCATGAGACAAGTAAGGATTTACATTCCTATGGCAGGATCTACTATAAGAAAGCTAAAATTTGCTCAAAATTCCATGCTTTTGTTCTGTACTGTAAAGAGATACACTAAAGCAGCGGTCCCCAACCCCCCCTTCCGTGGCCCAATGTCGGTCCGTGGCCTGAGCCAGACCAGGCCACGGAGACATACCTCCCGCCACCCCCACATGCACTCACTCCCGCATAGCTGATTTGTGCAGGCACACACTCCAGCGCACCTGTGTGAGCACCACACTACCGTTTGTGCATACGCGGGGTGCCTGCCCGTGTGAGCGCTGTGCTGCAGTTTGTGCATGTGCACGAGCACACCTGCACAAGTGCCGCGCCACCATTTGCACATGCGCACACGCACGCTCGTTCGCACATGCACACGAGCACGGGAGGTGCCCCCGTCTTCCCCAACTGGCCTACGGGGTGAAAAAGGTTGGGGACCCCTGCACTAAAGTATTCCCAATGCTCATTTTCTCCAATTCCATAAGAGAGAAAGAGTAACACTCAGGCACGTGTATACTTTCCTCCAAGACACAGATACTAGAGTTATTTTCATATCTGCATCCCATTTAATTCCTCCTAAAAGCTCTTAAAGTTCATGTTCTGAATTTTTCAGTGCTAGCTCTTTTATCTTTCAGCTACATGGGCCTCTGTTCTCATTTGTAACAATGGCAAATATCCACAAGGAGTAAAATTGACTTTTAGCAATGAAAACCAAAACCAGCACACTGTTGAGTCTGAATAATATAAAACTTAACCCTATCAAATTATCTATTTGCACTTTATGCTTTTAACTACAAGATTAGGTTTCTGCTCATGTTTGGAAAAACATTTCATCCCAATTTTTCCCCTCCAAATCACTCAAGTCCTGCCTCCTTTAGTAACCAATCTATTTCGTAGGAGTTGCCACTGCTCCTTCAAAAGAGAGGTCTTGAAGGACATATGTTCCTTTAAAAAATAAATAAATAAAGTCTTCAGCTATTTGGACTATCAAGGCATAGCTTTAGAAAATAATTTGGAGATTGTTCACATACACTCCAACACCTTCAGGCCTGACAATCAGAACCACCGTATCCCTCTTTCCTCTGTTACTCACTTACCCAGGTGCATATGAAGCCTTGAGCTCTGATTTGATTGGAGGGGCAATGCTGGTCAGACAGTGGCCACTGATGTAGCCTTTGGGCATTACCATGCCATTGTTGTTATTGCAGTTGAGGTGAGCACTATAGCTAGGTCCGCATGGAAGAGGCAAAGGGGGACCATGTCGGACTGGAACTTGGTTGCTGGGGGGCGCATGATGGAGACTATGTCGGATTGGGACTTGGGTGCTTGGAGGGCCATGATGGAGTGCTCCACTGGAAATAGCATTAGTCACATGACCAACACCAGAGACAGATGCGTTGATACTGGAAGAGCTGGAGGGCTGGGCATGAGGATAGCTAGCTGAGGCTGAGATGTCAGAGATGGAGTCCAAATCAGAGCTGCAGGAAAGAAGTTAAACAATTGGAATAATATGTATATACATATTGTACCTTTCACTGGCATCATAATGGACCGTATGGATTGCACCATTATCTAAACCGCATGCAATTGGTTCGCAGTAATAGTTTATAGAAGAGATTCGGAAAAAGATGGCTTGAATTTAAACAGAAACAAAGAGGAAAGAGTGAAAACAAATACTGTATCCATTTTTTCATGATAAACAGAATAAAAATAACTACCTTGTTTCCCCAAAAATAATCCCTGCCCCAAAAATAAGCCCTAGTTAAGTGAAACCCTGCCCTCTACCATTGTGCAGCAACCAGAAGATGACATGGCTGTAAAATAAAACACCCCCTGAAAATAAGCCCTACTGTGTTTTTCGGGGAAATACAGTGATGGTATAAAGAACTTCAGCAAGTGGAGAATTACAACCACACTTATGACATCGTGCATGGAGTGGGAGAGACTGACAACTCTACCTCACTACATATCAACACTCTGTCCTGCTATTTATACAACTCTGAGGCCAAGAAAGAATTCCACTGCAAGTACAGTATTGACATAATCTTCTGGAGTTCTTACTCAATTTGGAAACACATTGCTGATTTCTTTTTTTTTTCCTTTTTTTCCTTTTCTTGCTTTTTTTCTTTTTGCAATTTGGTATCAATTTTTCATTCTGTTTTGGCAATTAGGCCTGTGATCTTTCCCAGCAGCAAACTCAAATACTTCAGGATTTTAACTGGTAAGAGGCAAATTCATTGTGGAGGGGAAAGTGAATAAAATTGTCATTTGGCAAACAAAATAAAAAAGCGAGAGTAGGCTACAAATTATTATCCCCACTTGTAGCCTTATGCCATTAAGAATATCCAACAAAGGACATAAAATATTTATAATCAGTGCATCAACTCTGAGCTTGGCTTGGAAGTTTCTGTTCTCTCTGACATGACAATTCTGCAGTATCTATTAAAAATCCTAAGGATATTTTTCTTCTGGCCTCATCCTTCCACGTGCTTTCTGAATAATACGATCTGGTGACAGCATTCTCTCAGAGACTATTTTGGATAATACAGTGGTCCCCAACCTTTTCTGAACTGCGGAGTGGTTTGGCATGGGGGGTGTCTGTCCATGGGTAGGCGTGGAACCCATGCATGCGTCCGTGGGCTGAATACCCTTGTGTGCATGTGGGAGGCCGTGTGGGGATGTACGGGGGGGGGGAATCTGTCTCCGTGGCCCGGTCCTGGGGTTGGGGACCCCTGGGCTAATACACAACTGGAAGACTTTGCTCAGATATCTAGAACCTCAGATATCTAGAACCTCAAACATAAAAACAAAACAAAACAAAAAGCCCACATTTTCATTGCCTCTGTCGAACACAGAAAGCTACATATAAAGATGGAAGAAAAACTATGGATGCAGTACAAATAATACAGAAAAGTATTTAGAGACAGAAGGCACAGAATTGAATATCCCGCCATAAAACAAACCAATCCCTCATCTCCAGTATCATCATTACTGTCATTATTTCTGGCATCTCGTACAACCATCACTGAGCATTTGGGAAATAGGAAAAGAGAAAGCACTTACATATCTGGTGAATCCTCCTTGCCAATGTATTCTTCCAAGATGCTGGTATCGATATTTGATGGCTCAAGAGCTCCATTAATATCATGACCTGAAGCAAATACACATTGCACAGGAAAGGTTATTAGCAGAATTCAGATAATAGTGTCACTCTACTCTCTGAGATTTAAAAAAAAAAAGAGCTCTAACGATGGAAATCCTCCTATATAAAATTGCAGCACTAAAATTAAGGGGTTGGGTTAAAAATGGATATTTGAAAGAACTGCATATTGCTCCAAAACGATCATCCAGACCAAGAGATGGGCAGCAGAAGAGTAGAAATCAGAGGCAGAACCACAAAAACAGAATGGAGAAACCATTTTTGTTTATGAGAACACGGCAGTAGCTAAGGAACTGAGTCGCATTCCTGAATCATATAATGCACATATTTATGAATTTTATACTATTCCTGACTACCGATCAAAGGAGACATCAGCCAGTATTAGGCTAATGAGTGAACAGCAATAATTTTTGTTTATACCAAATATTTGACTATAATGCTTGGGTATGCATTCCCCTTCCCACACTTCTCCCCTACAATACTATGAAAAATACTTAATGCTTTCTTTCCCATTTTTAGCAACACTACTGTTCAATATCTTCACGGAGCGAATGGACTGGTATTTTTCCCACCGTTTGTGTAATGTTCCTCACAGCTCCTTTTGATATTTATTTTGTCAATTACACAATGCTAGTGCTAACTGCAAGGAGATTCATCTATTGGTATAAGCATGCATGTTCAGCTGGCAGGGTCTCTGGGTTTTTTGTAGCCTTTCCAGTCACTTTATTTTATCCTGCTTTTGGCTTCTTCTATAGCCCAGCCATTCTCAATCTTTTTTTTCTTTTTTTTTTTTGGCCATGGTCATAAACACAATATGAAAAAAATATAGGCCGAATCAGACTTGTGTAACTCACGTAACAAACCTTATACAGCAATGTGTGAAAAATAAGTTTTTAGCCAGTGCCCCCCTTCAATTGTGCCAGGGGCCCCCTTATGGCCCTTGCTGAGAAAGACTGTGATCGCCTATACAGGTCCTTTGGAGCAGTGGAAGGGCATGACTGTAGGTGATCATGGAGCAAAAGGAAAACTAATGATGGGGTGATCACAGAACAATACAAAAGCAATTGCAAAGAAGTCAACAAGCAGATGTCCGAGCCAGTGGAGCCTAAAGGCAATGCCTTGAGAACTCTTTTATGAACTTAGCAAGGGTTACATCATATGTTGTGAGAATTCAGACAGGATACTGGCCACCTAATTGCCACTAGGATTGGCTCGAGGAAGTCTTTGGACTTATGATCCAACTCTAAAGGAAAAGGGCAGAATGAGTAGGTTACCCTGCCCGCTGGCAGCTGCTTCTCTGCCAGGAGAGTTTCCTCTCACGGAAACAGATAACAACTAATGGCCTTCGGCAGGAGCTTCCCACACATGACCAGATGACATCATTGATGATGCATGGAATGGTCTTTTTGCCTGCCTTCTGCTCGTGCTAGAAATGGGTACAACTGTAATGAAATGTATAAATTGTATTTTTAAAAAGAACTGTAATGCTTGTCATGTCTTGTCAGTTCAGCACTATTTCATTTGGTAATCACTGAACAAAGGAATCTGAAAGCTGGACAAAGGGGTAGGCAAGAGCAGTGGTCCCCAACCTTGAGCCTCCAGAAGTTCTTGGACTTCAGCTCCCAGAAATCCTGGCCAGCAGAGGTGGTGGTGAAGGCTTCTGGGAGTTGTAGTCCAAAAACATCTAGAGGCCCAAGGTTGGGGACCACTGGGCAAGAGGATGGTGATAATGGCAGAGAAGGGTGAAGGGAACGGGGAGGTGTGACCAGTGGACATTTGAAATGTGTCTTCCTGGGATAATTAAATACTGTATTTCTGTGTGAATGACAACAGCAATTTAAATGCCAGGGTGCCAGGCAAACATTTATGTGGGCACACCCTAACTTAATCCTGACAAACTATAGACAGTCTTAACTATGGTTTACTAAAAGAAGTCAAACCATGACTTAGAGCTGGCTCTTTAAATAAAATACAGTTTATCTTATCTACAGCTTTGGGTTGAGATGGAAAGTGAAGCTGTTAGCTGGGAACAGAAGCAAAACCTCCTAAAGGAAGAGGTAATGAGCTCAAAGATGCCAATGTCATTATCAAGAATAATAATCTGGGCCAAGAATATGTTCCCCCAAGTTATAAATTAAGAGCCTTAACGAAGCCACCACATTTTATTAGAAGACAGTATCTATCCAGCTATTCCAAGAGCAGTAGTGGCTCCACATTTTGGTTCTACAGAAGTTGTTCAATAGTAACTCCCAGATTCCATGAGTGATGTCCACACTTGCTGGGGCTTCCCAGAGTTGAAGATCAACATCTGTGGGCTGAAGGCATGGGACTCTGTTCCTGCAATGGGGAGTTGCATGGACACTGTTCTGTGGCCCGTGACTGTCATTATTAAACCAGATGAGATGACTGAGATCGATGGAATCCATTTTCTATTGCTTTACATTTCAACAGTAGGTACATATGGGTATGACCTCAAGAGAGAAGTCCTATCAGTTTCAATTGGACTGAAACAGTATTATAGATGGCTTGAATTTACATTTTTTTTCAGAACACACAATAGTCTTTTTTCTTCATCATCTGTTTCAATTTGTACTTCTTTGGGACAAGTATCATTGTCCCCTGCCCCAGGCCTCCATATCCTTCCTCTTCATACCTCTTATTCCATTCAGGCAATGTGTGAACTTTCTTTTTAACTCCACCCATACAATTTCTTCTTTTGCCTTCTTGTCTACTGAAAAATGTAGGATTTTCTGCTATTAAAAGGCAGCTTTATCTATGTCTTGGGAGTCTGAGGACTGCAGGGTTTGTGTTCCAGACGTAAGTGCCGAAGGCATTATCAGGAAAAGGGAGGGAATCCTTTGCCCACAGCTCAGATAATAGAAGGCAAACCTTTTCCTGAATGGCTCAATCACATCAGATTAAAATGATATGTCACTTGCTCACCAGACTAGCACACACACAATCAAAGGAGCCCCCCAACCCCCACTTAGAAGCATTCTGGGTAAAGGTTAGTCAACCAACCAAAAAGAAAAAAATATATGAAAAAACACAGGGTTTCATCCTATCAGAATCCCGCTCTGTGAAAATCCCTTTCATACCAAGAGAAGCAAATCAGCAGAAATAAATCCAGTGAGGAATTTTGCCAGAAGGAATGGTAGGTGGGGTGGGGGAGGGGAAAGAATAAAGAGAGGGAATCTTTTCCCTGGGTCACACACACTGGGGAAAGGCAAGCCTTGAACACAATTTCATAATTAAGCAAAGAAACTTTTGTGTGTCACATCAGGGAGGAATCATGGGGAGTTGGAGGAGGGATGGTTTACTGGTTTGTACAGCATCCTGCCCCATGCTCATTATGACAGAAAAGTGTCCACCTTGGGTTAGGAACTCAATGTACCCTTTGCCCTTTCGCTCTGACTTAAGAATCGGAACATTGTATGGGTTTTAAGAATTAATGCCCCATTATTTTTCACATTTATTCTTTTTCATGCATTTCTATCTATTTCATAATTATGTCATAAGTATATCCTGCCTTCTTTGTAACTGGTACTATTTACACTAAATTCTCATCCAAGTCTCTCTCTTCACCCCCCCTTTTGTTTTATATTCTTTCTCTGAAAAGCACATTTTTGAAAACTGGAGAGGCTATCCTCCTTCCATGCATGTAATACTGTACTCCAGTTATCCATTAGCTTTAGACAGTTTCATTTCCCATCCTTATTTTCCTTGGTGGTAGTGTGAGGTGGAGGGTATGGGTGGCCTGAACAGAACCATTTCATGCTGCAGCATTTTATTGCACTACCACTACTTACAACAAAATACTAAAATAAACATAATCTATATATGAAAACCTCTCTCTCTCTCTCTGATACTCAGAGCACCAATGAAGTTACCTCCCTTCACCAGAGGAGGGACAATGTATACACAATCTTCCCATTTTTATTTTTAATCTGTTCTGATATGCTAGGATTGCTTAGTTTTAATGACCTGATGAAATTTATTTTCAAGGGGCTTTTTGAGAATCTAGCCCCATAATGTTTACCTTATACACCAACTTCCCTATCAAGCATCCTGTCATTTTTTGAAATTATCCTTGCAGCCATGCTAGCAATATTTAAACATGGGGGGGGGGAGAAGAAAGAGAAGACAAAATACTGCAGCCATTTAAAAGCAAACAGATTTCAGTATAAGCTTTCATGGATCAAAATTCACTTCTTCAGGCACAAGGAGTGAACATGCACACATCCTCCATATTTATACATATGCCCATGACCAAGCGAGAATACAGATAATAGACAAAGTAACAACGGTTCCCTAACATAGGAATAGAAAAAAAGATAGACACAAACCGAAAAACGAGTGGTTCATGATGGTTTACAACGAACCACCAAAAAACAAACTGTTTTACAGTTCATTCTACTTGTTTGTTCCTGCCCTCCACCTGGCCTCCGTCTCCACCCGCCCCCTTCCTCCTGCCCAGATTGTCTCCCTACCTAATCCAGCCACCCCTACCTCCTCCACCTCTGCCATCTTCAGACCTGCATGCCTCTGCCGCCCAGCTGATAGGTGGGTGCATGCTCTGAGGAGGCAGAGGCCCACTGCCTCTAAGGATGGTGGGGGCAGATGAGGCAGTGGCAGGAGGAAGTAGGGAGGAGATGGGACAATGGGAAGGGGACAGGCGTTCGCCCCCATTATACAGAAGCNNNGGGGGGGGGGCCTGGCACTTTTTTTTGCTTTGGCAAAACACTATCCTTCAAATGATTCGCGAACCAGTCTGGTTCGTTAGTTTTTCTGGTTTGGGGTTCAATTTGTGCCCATCTCTAGCCAGGATGATATCAGTATACTAGATTGATTTGGTTGTCACAGAAATGCTAAGAGTTACTTCTGGGAAAGAGTTTGTCAAGGGAGACAAATATTTCATACCCATATTTCATACCAAATATTTCATACATATAGTGTTCTAAATGGCCTCAATTTCTGCCCCCGGAATGCAC